GTTCTAGCCTATGCTCATTAAATAAAAAGCAGATATAGATGGCATTCACACCATCTATGTCAACATTCTAGCTTTAAAGTTCTTGCTTTTAGACAAACAATTTTTGAGTTTATTCATCTGCTACTCACCAAACATTTATTATGCATGCCGAGAATAAGCAAAGTCATTCTCTCCCATTAGCTAACATGGTAGGCAAGTATAAATGGAAGACAGTAAATAAGTAAATAAGTAAACAAGATTGTGATGAGTATTATAAGAAAATAAACATGATCACATGATATAGAAGAAACGCGATGAGGGAGTTTAGAGAGGATGTTCAAATCTAAAGAATGAGAAAGATCCAGGAAATTATTCCAAGTAGAGAGACCACTTAGAGAAAAGCCTCTGAAGTAGGAAAAAGTTTAGCATGTTTCAGAAACACAAAGAACACAGTGCTGAAACACAGAGAAACAGGAAGAAAAGATTTGTACAATATGAAAGTAGAAAGGCAGATCATGGACAACCTTAAGTTTTATCTTAAGAGCAACGAAAACCACAGAAGGAATTTAAACAGGGGAGTGTTATGAGTTTGTAAGAACACTCCAAAAGCTGTTAAATAATTGATTGTAGAGTGGGAAGAATAAAGGAGAGAACAGTTAGGAGGTTTCTGCAGTTGTCAGAAAGATGATGGTTGCTTCTATAAGGGTGGTGGTGGCAGAGATGAGAAGATATATTTTGGAGATAGACTTGATAAGACTTGCCCATAGTTTGATTATAAAGTATGAAGGAAACAGAGAGCTCATGAATTCACCCCAGGTTTTGATTCATGCAAATGAATAGACAGTAGTACCATTTCCTAAGATAGGGAAGAGGAAAGGAGAAACTGGTTGGGGAGGGAAAATAAAGATTTCTAATGGACATGTTATGTTTGAACTTGCTTGAGACGCTTATAAGACAGGCAAACAGAAATGACAAAAAGGAAGTTGGACAGTCTGCCATCTCTTACCCTCAGATCCATTCTCTGCCTTTTTCTGCCCTGCTCTGTGCCTGGAAGGCTAACTAAACCACATCATTTAGAATGCCTAACCCTCTGGCTTCCCACTGAATTCAATCAACAGGAAGGATCAATAGGAGAAGAACAGAGGATAGGAG